TCCCCTGTGTGACACCGCGTGGGCTGGTGACCTCACTCGATGACATCACCCAGCACTGCCGCTACCCTGGGTGACACCGCGTGGGCTGGTGACCTCACTCGATGACATCACCCGGCACTGCCGCTACCCTGGGTGACACCGCGTGGGCTGCTGACCTCACTCGATGACATCACCCGGCACTGCCGCTACCCTGTGTGACATCGCGTCGGCTGCTGACCTCACTCGATGACATCACCCGGCACTGCCGCTACCCTGGGTGACATCGCGTGGACTGCTGACCTCACTCGATGACATCACCCGGCACTGCCGCTACCCTGGGTGACATCGCGTGGACTGGTGACCTCACTCGATGACATCACCCGGTACTGCCGCTACCCTGGGTGACATCGCGTGGACTGCTGACCTCACTCGATGACATCACCCGGCACTGCCGCTACCCTGGGTGACATCGCGTGGGCTGCTGACCTCACTCGATGACATCACCCGGCACTGCCGCTACCCTGGGTGACATCGCGTGGACTGGTGACCTCACTCGATGACATCACCCAGCATGACACCCTGACGCCACCGCGATTACGTCGCACGGTGCGATGCCGTCACCACCCCAGTGCCATGACATCACCAGCTGTGCGCTGTCCCCATGACAACAGTCGTGAGGAGTGACATCACTTTGCAGTGAGATGACATCACATTACCTCATTACCACGTGACGCGACACAACACGGTGACGTCATAGCGTAATCTGATGGCATCACGTGTGGCCCTTGACCCTTCCGTGCCCTCCGCGTCACTTCCTCCCGCCGCCCTGGGACCACGTGACCTCTGCCCCTCACCCAATCAGGAGCCCTCGCCGGCTTGAGCCCTCCCCATGAACCAGCCTGGGGCTCAGGCCACCGCTAGGCCCCGCGGTGCCGGTGCCCGGATGTAGCCGGCTCTGTAGGACAGGGAGGCCCCATCACGGCCACTTCCGGGTTGCGGGGTCCTTCCCGGCCCGATATAGCTGCCCTCCACAAGTGCCTGATAATAACCCGCACCCCCGCGCCGCCCGATCTCGGCGGGGCTGGTCACTGGACTCCCCGCTCTCCGCAGTCCGGGCGAGCCGTGGGCGTCTCCCTTCCGTCCGCGCCCTCTTCAGGACAGGCACCCGCCACCGTCAACCCACCCTGGGGTCCTCCGAAAGGGCGGTGCCTTTTCCCGCCTCTGATTGGCTAGAGGCAGGCTGGCCAATTGGCGGAGGCGGAGCGTGGCGGCTCCTCCCCGCGCGGTTTCGCGCCTTCCACTGATTGGCCCTGAGGCCTGAGGCGGCGGCCAATCACACGACGCCGCCTCGCGCGCTGGGCGGGAAGGGAGAACTGGCCAACCACAAGGCGAGGCGCGAGGCGGCACTGGCCAATCGCATGAGGAGCAGCCAGGACAAGAGCAGGAGCAGAGGGGAGGGGGTGGGGCTGGGAGACGGGGGAGGGGTTAGAAAGATGCAGGCGTTGGGGCCCAGAGAGGAGGGGGAGGGGCTGAGGAGGAGCCCAGAGACCAGGGGGAGGAGTTGCAGGGGCTGGGGGCGGGGCTTAGAGAGCAGGGGGAGGAGTTGCAGGGGCCCAGAATGGAGGGGGAGGAGCCACGAGAGCAGGGGGGGGGTTGCAGGGGCTGGGAGCGGGGCCTAGAGAAGGGGGAGGAGTTGGAGGGGATGGGGGAGGAGCCCAGAATGGAGGGGGAGGGTCTTGGGGAGGAGCCATGAGAGCAGGGGGAGGGGTTGCAGGGCTGGGGGCGGGGCCTAGAGAGAAGGGAAGGGGTGGGAGGGGGGGCTAAAGAGGGGTGGGGTGGTGGGGGATGGGCAAGAGAAGAAGGCGTCAGGGTGGGGCTGGGATACGAGGACTATCCTCTCTTGGATGGGGGCGCTAGCTCTGACCCAACGCGGGGATGGGGCATGGGCAGAGCTGGGGGGGCAGGGCTGGGCTGGCAGGGGCTGCGGGTCGGGAGTGAGGGGCATCGGCAGGGCTGGGGGGGCAGGGCTGGGCTAGCAGGGGCTGCGGGGCGGGAGTGAGGGGCACCGGCAGAGCTTGGGGGGAGTTAATATCCCCCCCCCAATCAACAGTGCCGCGGCCCCGAAACAGGCTGGGCTTTGGAAGATGACTCCGATCATCCTCGCCCGCTTGCTGTTGCCATGGTTTCCAGTCACAGGCGGCGGGGCGGGGGGGCAGTGAGCAGCAGAGAACAAGTGGATCCCTCAGCTGGGTTCCTGCACCAGGACCGCCCCCGAATCCGCCGGATCCAAGAGGCTGCCCTAGAACTCCGGTATCCCCGATCCGCCGCGGGAGCTAGGCTCAGGTCTCCTTTGAGAAATGAGGGGTTACGGGCAGGAAAGATGCTAAGCGATGCGTACCCGCACCTCCAGCACTCAACTGTGCCTCAGTTT